CGACAGATTGATTGAGCCTGAGAAAATGACTATGATAAAGGTTGATATTGCTTGCCTAATAATAATTGCGAACATCATGCGAATGGTTTTGCTTTTGGCGTTGATTATTCTAGGCAGATATGAAACGAACGTAAGAGGACTTTCTGGGGGAGAAAAGAGTGCAAAATTTGTGGTGGATGTGAGCTAAAAACAGTTAATAACAGCAAAGGTTCAATTATCAAATTAACTGAGGAAATTAAAGAAACTAATAATGAATTAGGCAAAAGAACTGGCTACTGATACAAACAAATCAAAACTGAATACGAAGCCAAAACAGTGGTGCCATTTAAGGATTGTAAAATAATGTAATGATGCCTGATAATGTAGCGAGGACGCTTGGATTAGCAATAACTTTTTCATTCTTATATTTGCTCTGTTCTTTGGTTTTAATAATTAGGGGTGTTCACCTTTGACGAAAAAAGAAAGTTACTGGGTGAGATTTGCTGTTGATTATTTTGCTTCCTTTGCTTGCTTTTGTGTCTCTTAGGTATTGAGCGATGTAATGGATATGGCTTTTTTTTTGAGAGGTTATAACTCCTTTTCTTTTGGCAATAATTTCTTTGTTGATTTTGCTTTTTTCGCCTTTTCGATTTTTCTACCTTGCTAAGCATAAAAAAAATTAAAACTATACTCCCAAAGGCACAGCAGCAACATTTTCTCTCACTGGCTTAATTGGAAATTCAATGATAATTTTTTCATATAAAGCAATTGGCTGAATTTGGGCTTTTTTGGCATCTAAACTGACCTTTTTTAACTTAATAATTCCTAAACTATTTAGGGCTTGGCAGTCTCGCCAAACATTAGCATAATCACGATTAAGTAATTGGGCTAATTCTTGAATGTTAGCCGGCTGCTTGTCTACCAAATCCATTCTAACTTGGCTGGCTACTCGATAAATAGTTTCGAGACGGTTAGCAATCATGACATTTTTGGGCTGGATATGTTTTTTACCAGTTTTAATAGCCTCTTCAAAGCGGTCAAACATCCTTTTAGGCGAAGCCAGTGGGTCATATTGGAAAATAAATTCTTTTTTTTTGTCTTTCATATTGTTACTCATAATCAAAATAGCCAAATCTTTCATAAACCTTTTGGAAGAATAACTTTCTACTGGCTGCCAAGGAAACTCATTCAAAGTAAACGCTTGGTTGCTTATCAAGATGATAATGCGGTGGCTTACCAGGATGATTATCAAATAATATTCGCTCATTAGGATTATCGATATTAAAAGCAATTCAACTAAATTTATAATTTTCAGGAAATTCCGCTGATTGCTTAGTGAAAAATCTTTTACTTAACAAACGAAGCTTAATGATATATCCTTGGTCAGTTTCTAGCACTTCTTCTTCGTGGGAAAGAAAATAATCTGACATTTATACATGTAGTTTTAGCACCACATATTTATATTTTTAGGATTAAAGTAAAAATTAGCATGAATAATCCAACCAAAAAACCGACTAAAAGTAAAATTTGACAATGAATAACCACCATTGCTATCATTTTATCCCTGTTTGGCAGTAGTTTTCTCCTCTATCAGTGGTGAAAAACCCAACAAAACGCTACTAATCCAAGAAAAAGAACAAAGGATGATTTTGGTTATTTAACGTGAAAATAACATTAAAATAATGCTTGGGGGAAAATCTCTTGGTCGGTTTTAGAAGAAGTAGAAAAAGCCATTCATATAGTTTTGGATTTGAAAAGTTAGTCTGTGGTGCAAAAATTGACTCTTTGCTTATTTATCTGGATTAAAAGGAAAGGTGGTTGGTTGAACAACTTGACCTTGCTGCTCCAAAGAAACTGCCTTCTCATAATTAACAAATGCTTTGGTATATTTTCCTTTAAAAGTTCCATCTATTTTGTAAGTGTACTTCCTCTCATTACCGCTTTTATCAGTCAAATAGCAAGAAATTGTTGTAGTAATCGGAATCTCTAAATTATGTTCTTGCAAAATTGCTTTGGCTACTACCATGGAGTTAGCGGGGCAATTTACTTCTAACATTCCTTCTATAGTTTCAGTCTTGGATTGAGTATGGCTCCTCCCATGAGAGACTTTGGCTTCCAATTTAAGAGACAATTCTCCTTCTGCCAGCAAAGGTACTCCCGTTCTAATCCCGGTTTCTATTCCGGCCGAGAGTTCAATGCCTCAGTCATAGGTATCTTCCTTAGTATATTCCCGAGAAAAATTGAGAGTATACTTTTGCGGCTCACTACCCTGATTCTTTTGCGTAAGTTCTTGGACGGATTGCTTAGAACTTTCTTTCTTTTTCTCTAAGTGGAATTTAATATCTTCGATTACTTCTCGATAACCACCTATTGTTTTTTGATAACCAGCAGTTGGCACATACCAAGGTCAGTGATAAAACCTCTAATTTTTCTTAAATAACACTTAGCCCCATAGGAATACTTTCTCATTTTTCAAGTTTATACCTAATACTTAGTCCTTTACTTTCCTGCAAAAATTGTCGCAGATTACCACCTTCCATGTAGTCCATCACCATTATATAATTTCTATCAGGGTCTTTTGGGAGATACCATAATAATGAACAATAAATAAGCCAGAAACTAGCCTATTATTAGCAATTTCTCTTAAACAATGCTAAAGTGATATTTTGAGAATCCTTTAAAATTTTTATAACTACTTTTCGGACTTCATCCTCGCTTCATCTTAACGTAGCTTTATAAACCCTGGCAAATCCCCCTTCATCTAAACTTTTGTCTTTACCACTTTCA